ATGTAGAATATAAGATGGAAACATTAGCTGGAGTGTTAAATGCTCTCATAAATACTACAATAAACAAGGATAACGAAGAAAACTTAATGAATGTTAAACTTATTGCAGGAGTTTTGAAGTTTCAGTTATGCGAAGGAGTTTAAGATAACACGAATGAGTCATAGAGTTCAATTGCTTCTGGGAGCATACCATATGACATTTCTTTGAAAAGTGTTGACAAAACGATTGAGATGAAATCTGTTCCATTATGTATGTTATGGTATATTGTTTGTACATTGAGTCAAAAATAGCTAATGTCACAGTATTTCAGGAGTTAATAGTAAAGGTTCAGTAGAATATAAGTCTTTCTGTTATGCAGTCAATTCAATGTTCATCCAACACTTCCTGTCATAGCAACTCATTTAGGTAAATGGGTTCGCATTAGTCCTCATAATTTGAAAGACATGCAATTCAGACTTGTTGACTTTCAAGGAGAGCCTGTAGAACTGAAGGCACCAGTGCGAATGACTGTTGAAGTTGACTTTTTAGAAAATATTAAATGCAACAGCTTACAAGAGATCAGAGCTAAAAATATAAAGTATGAATGTTATTATTATGGTCATGAACTTGGTTGTTGTTGTTTGATGAAACAAATAAGTTAGTTATGTCAGTCAAGAGAACAGAAAAATATTGTGTTAGTGAAAACTGCACCAAGTCAATAAGATTAGGTTGCATTATGAAGATGAGTTCGATACTGTTGAAGAAGTTTTGGATAGATACTATAAGTTGCTTTAATTTACTAAAACATATTTCAAACAAAGCTTATATTCTGTTGAAAGTTTTGTATACTCGTTCGAATATTTATACTTAAACTCAACTCCCTGTAGTTCCTGGTGTTTCAATGATGCGGATGTTACCTATTTTCATGAATATTGGCGTTTTGACCACAGCATTCGATTTCAGGGTCGAGATAGTCAATGACACATTGCTTTCCTGTTATTCGTGATATAACATTTTCAAGGTCCTCCTTTGTTAGAATTATTTGGTTCTTACTTATAAGATTTGTCAAAAGCTTCTTATCGTCTTTGAGTAAAATTGTTTGGTATAACTGAAGAAGGTAATGGTCTACGTTATCTGAAGGATTTGTTTGAACATTTGTTGTAAGGGTTGTCGTTGGCTTCTCTTGAAAGAATTTGGTCCAGTGGTGGATACTCTAACTTAACATCTGATGTAGCGTTAGCGTTTGAAGCTGAGTTTAAATTCACGGATTTCAGCTCTGGTTCTTTTTCTTTCAAACACTCTGAACTATAGTTCTTTATGACAATATTGTTTGTCGTTCGTGAGTCAACATTTGATGTTGGTTCAATTGGAACATTAACGGCACCAGCTAAGATGGATTTGCTTCTCATTTCATATAGAATAAAAACCTTTTATATGTATGAAATGAACAATATACTCGACAAGGGTTTGAATGTAAAGCTAACGAATGAAAATATTGTTGAATTCACTGAGACAGGTGCTGTGTATAAAGATGTAGAACTACTGAACAAAAGAGCAAAGGGAAGAAGCAGGAATATGAACAAAGGGTGGAAGCCTATAAAAATTTATGTCAATGATGGCTCAGGAGGTTCAAACATAAAGTATGCAGAAAGTTATAGAGTTTATGCTCTCAAAGGTGAAAAGCCTTCATTTAAGAACAGCTATTCTAACGCATATCCTCAAAAGCTAACGGATGGGGAAGTGGATGATATGAATGACAGCAAAAATATTAACAGAAATGGCGACAGAGATGCATGGAATTTGTTTACCATCAGTCAATTGAAGGTTAAACTTTAAAAACAATGTTGGTCGTTCCCATGGAATATTTTTGACTTTAATGGTATTAGTCATGATATGAATCTCAAGGTATGAACGAGGAGAGATGAGAGACTTATATGCTTCCCAAATTTCTTCAAAAGGTAATGTTATACCTGACTGTTTCCAAATGAGTTCAATATCATAACGTGAGAAACCTTGAAAGATAACGAGGTCAGTTATGAGACGTTTTATGTTTAAAGCAAGAAAACGCCATGTTTGCATAAGTATTGCTACAGTTAAATGGTAATGTCTGACTTTAGTTATGATGTTAGCTAATGGTGAGTCTGGTTTTGACACTAAACCTTTTCCGGCGAAATCATCACAAACTAATAAAGTGTTTGAAGGATACTTTTTGAAGGGGTATTTGAAAGTTTTGATAGAATGTAGTTTGTAAGTCGTTTCATATCGTAAACTCCTGAGTATTGACGTAAGTGGTGTTTGTCAATAATTCTTTCATCTCCTCAGAAGTCTTTTGCATTCCTGACTGTATGAACTCTACGATGGCATAATATTTCCTCTTACGTCGAATGTAACGTTGAAGAAATTCAATGAGTTCACTGTCTGGAACTTTAACGACAGAGGCTTGAACTTTTGACATAAATGTTTTCGCTGTTGAATCCATAGAGTCTGAAGTTGCTGATATAATGATTTGGTCATAGTAAGAGTCGTTTCCTAAACGTTCTGTTATGAGTATATGACGAATGAGGTTGAATGTCTTTCCTGAACCCATCTTTCCACAATAGAAATACACACCATTTGAACAGAATTCATAATCTTTGCTGAAAGGAAGAATAAGAGAAGAGTTAAGTTTGTCTGTAGTTTCATTCATGTCTTCATCTACATCATGTATTAAATGCTTCATTTTATCTCCATTAAAAATGCAAGTCAGAAATATTCAGAACATAGCACCGAGTCTAACTGACAAGAGTATAAGATATACTATGAACATGTTATGATGAAACCAACCAAAATTCAAGAAAGTCAGTATACTTATGAATATCCAAGACATTGGGTAGAGTATGTAGGAGGTGAGAAAGCTATTGAAATCAGACAGGTTCGAAGTATTCCAGCAGGAAGAACAATATTATTGAAGAACTTTAATGTTTTGAGATATAACGATGAAACAAAGAAGCAAGATAGTTTTCCTGTTGCTGTGTATGTGAACTTAGATACAGGAGATGACATGAAAGTTTTTAATACAAAGCTTCAAACGGTAGTGAGAGAACAACTGACTGCGGAAGGACATCCATTGCCTTCAGAAGTTACCATAGCATATAATTTTGAAACAAACTCAATAGATTTTAAAGTCATCTCTGCAAAGAAGTCAGGTTTTACATTTAATGAAGCAGATGTATATTCGAATGAAAACTTCAAAGCTATTGCATGGTTAGATAATGACGATTGCTTTAAGAAAATATTTAAATACAGTGACTCAACGATGTCAATAGATGACCTTCGTGGAATGTTACATCGACGTTTACAGTAGAAGGTTCAGCAGGATTGCTTACAAGATTGTCAATTGGTGGTATTTGGTCTCGTGAGAACATTGTTATAAAATCCAGTATAAGTGAATTTGCTGAAGAATCTATATTATGTCTTTCAAACTATATGTATTCGCCGCCGAAGCATTATAGTATAACAAACTTTGTCAGTAAGTTTAATATAAGACTTGTCGAACCTTCTTCAATGAAAGATGTTGTGCTACCTAAAGATGGAAAGGATGGACTCATTATTGAGATGATTTTAATAGCATATTAAATGAGCTTGTTCTTGAAGGTCATTCATGATGAAATAACTGTTGTAGAAGATGTTAGCAATTGTTCAGACATTTTGAAGCGTATAGATGATATAAGAAATAAGTTAGATAGACCGCAAAGCGGTGAGGGCGAAGCCTGTGAGAACGCTTATGTTTCATTGACTTTCTCCAGTAACGAGAACTTTTATGAGATAATATTGAAGAGAGATGATTTTAATATGGTGTAAATGGTAGCTTGGGCAGCTTTAGGCGCAATGGGAACAAAAGCATTAGCATTTGGAGCAAAAGCACTTGGAGCTTATGACGCAGTAAATAAAATGAGTGGAGGAAGGGTTTCGAAGACATTAGATGCAAATAAAGGGAAGATTGGAGGCTGGGTTGCAAAGAAGTTAAGATTAAATAAAATAGGGCTCATAAATAAAGCATCCAATTTGGTTGCGACTGAGTCAGAAAATGCTTTAGGAAAGGACGATGAGTTTGCAAAACACGCAAAAGACTTTAATGACCAGATGAAAGGTGAAACAATGCATTTAAATAGAGTCGATGGAACTAAAGAAAATGTTTCTTCTCCACCAGCGGTTTATCCATACGGACCTTATGGAATGTATGGAAACCCTTATGAACGACCATTTGACCCATTGACTGGTGGAAGTAACTGGTATCATTACGGCCGAAGAAGAAAGACAGTCAAGTTGGAGACAGACGTGAAGAAAGCAACTAAAAAGAAACCAAGGAAGAGAGTTATAAAACAATGAATTCAACAGGGTGAAAAAACAGGTGAAAAAAGAGGTGAGATCTCACCACTTCACCTAAATTTATTTTTGTGCTATGTTTTCATACGTGTGAGGGTGGTGATATCATTTATTTTTAAGTTTATTTTTATATAAATGACGAAAACTATTGAGATAACAAACTACAACGGTCATGAGTTCAAGAATTTGTTCTTCGTTCCTCGTGAAAATACATTCTATCAGATACGAGGGAGAAAGGGTAAAGTTAGTTTGAGCGTTTATGAAGGAATGAAGAATGGAAAGTTTATACAAGCATACGATACAAACGGTAAGCGTGTTTCATTAGCTTTGTCAAAACTTACAGGTATAAACTATGACAGTGATTTTGACCTATATGAAGAAGAAAGTGAGTCAGAAGATTATGAGCTGTTATATGAAGCACAGCAATGGGAGGAATTGCAATACTTTTGTAAGTGAGAACGTTTATTTTTACATTAGTGAAGTCGTTTGTGAAAACGTTAGTGAATTCGTTAGTGTTGTAAAATATACGTTAACGGTTTTGTAAAGTGTCAAATTCACTGTCATAGTTTATACCTGTAAGTGAGAACGTTTATTTTTACATTAGTGAAGTCGTTTGTGAAAACGTTAGTGAATTCGTTAGTGTTGTAAAATATACGTTAACGGTTTTGTAAAGTGTCAAATTCACATATAATGGGTAAGGAGGCGCGCAGTGCCGCCGTACACTTGATATGTATACTAACTACTGTCATACCACGTATTAATTCACGTTTCGGTGATAATTTAGTATAAATTCCAAGGTATTCGAAAAATTCTGTTTTTAAGTCAAGTTCTGTGAACACGTAGAACACAGTGTCACCAGGATGGATTTCTTTTTGCTTTTCTTTTGAGAATAAACAATCAATAGTATCATAAAGATATCGTTGATTGAAATTTGCTTCGCGATATTGTTTAGCGTATTGTTTGACAATTTTTATATTGTAATTCTGAATACAGTTTAGATATTCATTTGTTGAAAATATTTTGAACATCTTTTCATACATTTTAACATTTGAAACTTTTAGGTAAGTGAAAACATAGCCTGCTTCGTATTCTTTTAAATCTTGATAAGCTTGAACTACAACAACATTAACACGAGAATCCAGTTTTCTAGAAACGAAAAAAGGAATGTTTTCATACATGGTGTAATCGTTTTTGATTCCGAATCTTTTTAAATATTGAGGTAAATTTGGCTGAATTGCGATGTTTATAAAGCTGATAATCTCTGAATTCATCAGGAATCTTGATTCATTCCAAATTGGATGGGCATCAGAGTGAGGATGATTACATGACATTTAAAATAACCGCAAAATTTTTAAGGATCCCTGAAAGACGATAGACTATGCTCAGAAAACCACTTTTAATGTTATACCAGCTAAGCTTTTATATCCTCAAATATTGGCTTTGTTTTGAAAATCATATATCACCATTCATGGATATAATATGATATATCTATCTGATTTCAAAAGTTGAAAAGATATTAAGAATTCACTAATTCTGAGTATTTTTTTTTGAATTTATCAAGAATTTATTATATTTAGCATCAATATATTAATGTATCATATTACATTGAATACATTGCGAAAATTAGCATTTTTAAATTTTTTTATTTAAAGTATCTTGAAATAATCAACTCAAGTTTCAGAACAACTCTACATTAAGGTAAGGTATATTAGTTTCTAACTATTAAATGAATAAAAAATATGAATTCGAATAAATTGAACAATTACAGAATTATCAAAACATTTGCAGATTTTGTTTTAGTTTTATATTATTTGATGATTTCCAGAACCAAATTGTAAAACTTTTTTAATATAATTTTTTATTTCTAAAGTCAGTGATAATTTCACTAGGTTTCAGCACTAACCTTTCTATTATGGTGACCAATAGTGAATTTTTTGAAAAATGCTTTGAGATGCATTTTCCAATAATAGCCCAATTGATGAAAAGTCACACTTATAGGTATGAATTCCTGGGCGAGTTCAACTGTCATACCACGTATTAATTCACGTGTCGGTGATAATTTAGTATAAATACCAAGGAGTTCGAAAAATTTTGCTTTTAATTCAAAATCTGTGAATACGTAGAACACAGTGTCACCAGGATGGATTTCTTTTTGCTTTTCCTTTGAGAATAGATATTCAATAGTATCATAAAGGAAACGTTGATTGAAGTTTGCTTCACGATATTGTCTGGCATATTGTTTGACAATTTTTATATTATAATCCTGTATGCAGTTTAGATATTGATTTGTTGAAAATATTTTGAACATCCTTTCATACGTTTTAACATTTGAAATTTTTAGATAAGTGAAAACATAACCTGCCTCTGACTCCTTTAAATCATGGTAAGCTTGAACTACTACAACATTAACAGGAGTGTTCAGCTTTATAGAGATGAAATAAGGAATGTTTTTGATAATTCTGTAATTGTTTTTGATTCTGAATCTGAATAAATATTGAGGTAAATTGGGCTTGATTGCGTTGTTTATAAACCTGATAATCTCCGAATTCTTCAAGAATCTGGATTCCTTCCAAATTGGGTGAGCAACAGAATGAGGATGATTACAAGACATTTAAAATAACCGCAAAATTTTTAAGGATCCGTTAAAGACGATAGAAATTGTTCTGAAAAGCTTTTATCTCCCCAAATTTTGCTCTTGTTTTGAATTTCATATATTACTATCCTTAACTAAAATATACTCAATGTACCTGATTTATTCAATCCAAAAGATAGAGATAATTCAATATTTGATTTCTTCAAGCATTCGTTATGAGCAATATATATGAAATTTTATTAGATCTAGTACAGACATATTAATGTATCATTATCATTGAAGATATTGCGGATAGTAGCATTTTTAATTTTTTTTATTTATTTTCATAAGTTTAATTGCACATAGGTTAATTTATCAATTACTGTAAGATAGCGAAGTTAAAATAGTACACACAAAGCTACTAAATCACTCATCTTTGCTTACAAAGACATCAATATCGAAGAATCTTTGGATTAAATATATTTCTAGTGATTAATAATATTTGCTTGTGAACAATACATTTCATAAAAGAGTTGTTTCCTATGGAATTAAACCTCGAATTTTTAATTTTAAAAAAGAATAATTCTCAGACATACGATTATTTTTGATTCAAATGCTGTTCGGCATTAAAAGCAAAAATAATCATATATATGAGAATTACACTTTTCAGACATTTTTGGGTCGCTTCGCGCCCCTGACAAAACATCGGAAAAGTGTAAATTTTTTTACTTTTGAAATTATTGTTCTTTGCCGCTCTTCAAACAGCATGTCACAATATAAGGCATAGTTCCCTAATCGGAACAATCATTTTCACAAAAATTAAATTATAAAATAATACGTTTCAATTTTGGACTTATATTATATACAAACACTTTATATAAATAAATATTACGAAAAAAGGCTTATTATGGCATTGCAATTACAAATTTTTCAGGGACAGGTGCATATAAAGGTTGTTCTCCATCAAATTGAAGCTTGTATATTCCTGGTGATGTTGATGGAGCTGCAGCAACCTTCGCAGGATAGAAAACAGATGTCCAAGTTTGATTATCATTCAGCCATAGCGCAAGAACTGATGATTTAGATTGGTGAGTTGTAGAAACAGTTCTTTTAGATGGACATGATGTAGGAACAGGTATTATCTGATCAAATGGAACTTGAATCACGTTAACTTCATCTCCTTCTGGATCTGCATCGCAGCAGTGGTAGCATTTAGTATCTTTATCGTATCCTATTACATATGCAAGGATGTAATCTTCGCCTAAAGGTATGCATGCATAGGTATCTGACTTAATAATTTTATCTTTCTGGTGTTTAATCGCACCACAAAGTGGTGGATAAGGTGGATGCTTGATAGGTAATAGGTCTGAAATAAATCGTTGAAATCTCTCTTTTAAGAATTGTAAAGATGGAATTTCGAAAGATACTGGTTCATTATCGTCAACAACAGAGTCAACATTCTGAAAAATATCTAATAATTTTGTCTGTTCGCTTAAAAATGTGCTATTCGCGTATTTTTCTAATTCATTTAAACAATTTTTTGGCGAATTGAGGTCAATTTGTTGAAAATTAATGATTTCAATATTGTCATCTACATCCCGAGAATTTTGGAGCTTTTCAACTCTTTCGAGCAAAGCAGCAAAATCTTTGCTCATCCAGCTTTGAAATTTATGAATTTAAATAAAATAGAATTGATTCTTTCGTTTTTAATGATGTCAAGATTATGAGCAAAATATAAAATTCTTTAAAATATAATCAATGTTGAACTCATTTTCATGATTTAAAGCGCCATATCTGATACCATCCAAGAAAATTGAGAGAATCTCACTAAAACAAACTGAAATTAAGATGGAGTTTGTGAAATTGTGTTTATTATTGACGAAAAGTATAAGATTTCTCTTCCAAAAGCAGAGCGCACCCTAAAGAGAAATAAATTTATTTTAAAATGAAATTTATTTCCAAATACAACAAATACATCAAATATAATATAAAATTATTTTTCATTTCTTCACTTTCTTATAAAGTTTCGGTTGATTTTCACCTTGCTTGACCTTAGACGGATCAACAGGTACCATCTTTCCATGTTTCTTCTGTGTGCGGGTGTTTGTTCCTTCGTCATCAGATCCAATTGTTTTCAAAAACAGTTTCATGTCATCATCAGTATCATCATCGTCATTATCAGCCAGTGCCTTCTTCGGAGGTGGTGGCAAATGGTTGGAATTCTTCTTTGGAGATGGTGGAGGCTGAACAGGTTGTTGGAAACCAGCACTTCTCATATCCATGTTGTTAACAATGTTTTTGGCATCCAGACCTTTCTTTTCCTTCTTTTTCATCTTGTTTTGGAGCTCCTTCGGAGTAATTGTCAAATTATCTTCGTCAGAACCGGTCGTAGGAGGAAGGTCGTCATCCTTGTATATAATAGGATTGAATTTGGCCGCAGGAGGCAAGTCTGGCAAACTCATCGTCATATTCGGTGTCGGAATCGAGCGAGGAATGAAGAAAGAATTCATGTTGAAGTCGCCTGTGCCTTCAAATGAATTTCCTTCGTTGAAATTGACGTGAGGGGCAATTGGCATTCCACGCATTCCGCCTCCACCGGATCCGCCTTTGAACATGGGCAGAGCAGGAAGTTTTACAGGCTTGGTCTTGACTACAGCTTTCTTTTTCTTCGTTACTTTTTCACATGGATCGTAACAATGAACAAAGAACCTCGAAACAATGACGGCAAGGTTCCAGCCTGGAACTGATGCAGCTCTAATGTTAGGATCAACCAAAGAAACAATTGTATCTTTGACTAAGGCTGCAAATGTTTCATTCATCGTTGGCCTGATGATTTTATCAAGAGCGTATGAAATGGATTTGTTATCTGGTGGTGAGAAAGTGAAATCTTCTTCGAAATCGGCAAGGTTGTTGAGAAATGCCCACCATCTTGGGAAAAAGTGGTTTTCCAGACGTCTGTTGTAGTCTTTGAATCTGTCTGTAGTTCCACTGTATATGTTCAAGCAGAATGGAACTGAAAGGAGGTATCCGAAAACAGGGAAATTTCCTGGATGTTGGACAGAAACGGCTTTTGTGAATTTGACGTTTTCCTGGAAGAAAGGAACAATTATACCACGTCCGAAGAATGCGGAAAGGCCAAGAAATGTAAGGGCTTGGCTGTTGTAACGAGTATTTAAGTACATTCTGAGTGTACTTAAAATAATACGCCATTCCTTAGGTACGTATACTGCGCCTTGCATGATATACTTCATAACATTGAACAAAATCTTCTCTGTAAGCTTGACATCAACAAGTGTAATATCTGAAAGGTCAAGATCATCGTGGAAGTCAACAATCGCGCTAACCTTGTTGAAGAAGTCATCAAAGTACTGTTGGAAGTAGATTTTTCCAAGTGCGCGAGCAAATAAAAGTAAATGAGTCGGAAGTTCAAAGGAATCATTAGCTAATTCAAACGAATCGTTAAATGTAAACGCAAATACGCTTTCTGCAAGGAAAACCATTTTGTTTGCGTGAATATGGCATCTAACTACGCCTTCCCAGACTTTTGGATCCAAAATTGTAGACTTTAAGAGTGCCTGAACAAAAACTGAGTCATTGGCAGTAATGTAGGTGTAATAAGAGCGATATAAAATTTCCGGGAAAAATTCGTCTCCGCTTAAAAGATAGAATGGGAAAGGAACTTTCTGTCTTGAGTAAATGAGGTCCCAAAGCTGAATTTGATCCTTTTCAATCGGTTTAAATTGACAAACGTTTTTTTGGTTGAGATCTAAGATATTTATAGTAGTTTTATCGGTACTACTGTATGCTTTTTGAATCATGATGGATTTCACCTCATGGCATCCTTTACTTGTAGTTTCATAAAGGCAAAAATGACGATCTCTATCAATATATGCCCAATAGCTACCTTTATCTTCAATAGTACAGCGGCAAATGGAAAGCAAGTAGTTATTGATTAAACAAGATTTTGTTGTCCAAACTTTTTGGAATAAAGCTATTGTCATGAAATAAATGAATTTCTTTGGATCAGATGTTGTATGTAGGATCCTTGCAAGAAGAATTGTTAATGATGGAATTGATGGATGTAAACGTGGAATGCATGGAGGAAAATAACAGACAACTGGATAAGCTAGCTTTTGAATCATGGCTTGTGTAAGGTAAGCACCAAAATCAGCGACGAGTGGAGTAACATTTGTGAATATTTCGCTTTGTGGAATTTGATCAAATTCTTTACAGAATGGTTCTACCATATCATTGATCGAACGATTGTTGAGTAATGGCAAATCAGTAATGTTTGCTTCATCAAGTCTAACCCATGAGTTAGCATCATATCTTGTAAAATCAATTACAGGAAGATTTTTGTATTTTTCATACCAATGAGATGCTTGAACTTCTCCTACTTCATCTTGGCCATTAGCACCTTGAGCATTCTCTGCGCCTTCGATGTCTTCAGCCATTCAAAACTTTTTTTTATTAATTTTGCAACGGAAAGAGTTTAGATAACGTGGGTGATTTTTCACCCAGCCATAAGGATCACACTTTTGAGAGTTTTACATGGCATTTGCCGGCAAATGCTATGTAAAGTTGTCTCAAATATTTTAGGGTAAATGCACCGGCAACCCCTGGGAAATAATTGAGAATAAATTACATGGCATTTGCCGGCAAATGCCATGTAAAACTCTCAAAAGTTGAGCCCCTTACGGCTGGGTGAAAAATCACCCACGTTAATTTTTTTTTGTTTCAGCAGTGTAAAGGGAAGAAAATATACTTTTATTAAATGCACATATGACCAATATCTTATACACAAGTATTTCTATTTATAGGTGTAAGATGAACTTCATATATTCACTTTATCAAGATATTTTATTGACATTATCTAATCAAACGAAAATTTCTATAACATTAGGGGATTTTCATGATTGGCTGATTGTGATTACATTTTTCCTATATGAATCAATTTCTGAGAAATGTACGTTTAGAGTTCAAAGATTTTACATTTATTTATGAAGTATTTAAATCTATGTCTTATGACATTTTTCGATATTAACCTTTTTTATTTATTTTTTATTCAAGCAAATTATGGAATCAGACATTAAACCTGTTTTAAGTTTAAATGCAACAGTTTTAAAACGTATGGAGCCAATTATATCCAAACTTCCTAGTGATCCCTTTGAAATCGCTGCTGTTGCTCAATCAAATGGTGAAAATGTCCAAAGACTATCTTGCTGTATTAAATTAATCAGAATGTATTATAATGCAATTCCACAGTTAGTTATTTCCGGCAAAACATCTAAATATATCGATAAATTTAATCATAAATTTGAAGAAGAATTGACAATTTCAAAACGAATTGATCCAAAAAGTATTACTGCATTATTCACATGCTGTATGATTTCTGTTGGAACAGGAGCTATTAAAAAATACTTGCAAGCTCCTTCGTCACCAAATCCATTTGCTCAATGTATGCGAATCATTTGCAGAATCACATGGTTTTTGCGATCGAGATATAGATTACTTGATGATTTACATTCACAAAATAAAATTGGAATATTAAATAACAGTTTGAGAATTGCAAATTTCCGTGATCTCTGTGCAAGTGGTCAGAGAGCTGCAATATTCGCTGCAACATCTATACCAAGTAATGTTGATCTTAGACTATTCGCTTACCATGTTCCAAGAAGATATATTACAGATTCTGTGAAGAGTTTGTATGAAGAGTTCAAAAAGATGCTTTCTGATGAACGTAGAAACGAACTTGAAGATCTGGAAGTTCAAGTTGATCTATTACTCAAGGCAAAACTATCTCCAACGTTTTTCTCAGCAAAATCAAACGTTGATGACACAATTTTAGCTTTATTCCCGTTCGAAGATATTTATGATGATGTATTTGAGAATATGCTTAGTGGATATCTGCATGAAATAGCTCCTGATCACGAATTTGACATTTTTAAGGAAGATTTCGAAAAAGCAGCAACAAAAGCAGCGAGTGTAAGACTTGGAAAGGTCAAAAGACATTTTGATCTCGTTCATATTGTTAATCACGATGTTCCTCCATTAGGTTGGGAGCCTCCATCGAATATTAGTGAAGAAAGTAGAACAAAAAAGACTACAAAACCAGGTGATTTCACAATGTTTGATATGTTCAAGACTGATCAGAACTTCATTGAGAATTCAAGGAAGCTTTACCAGAAAAAGTATTAATTTCATTTTTATGTTACCATGATAAATATTTGATTTGTGTTTTATAAAATTTCTCACTTTTAAAACCTATACTTCATATATAAGTTCTTTGATCAATCAAATATGATATTTTAGAAAATATGATTTATCAATCATCTCTATTGCACATAAATATTGTTACTGTGGACAATATAATCAATCAACAATTTACTTCCTTGCATACTAGAGATGATCTTTATTCGAATGATTAGGCAACATTATCTGATTTTGTTTGGAAACCAAAATAAAATACATAGGATAGTTTATTGCAATAATAATTTTTGATTGATGCCAAATGAACGTTTAGATTATTTTTTACAAAAAGTGACAAAATTACATGTCAGATCAGGATGATTTAATTTTCTCTCAACTTCAGCAAGAATTACCTCCAGAGCATGTCATGGTAGAACCAGAACCTCATGATAATGAAGATTTATCACAAATTTCAGTTTTTTCGATAAAGTTTTATCGCCAATTCTTTAACATTGATACAATGGATGTACTGAAACGCATACTAATTGCTATTAATCCAGCAGATTCAAAGTTTTTTGTCAATTCTGTTCCACCAGATCTTTTTGGTCCCCTTTGGATCTCAATCACAATTTCTTTTCTATCTATAGTATTTGGAAGCATATCTAGAATGATTAGTCTCAAAAAGAAATACTTTAGTTTTGGAAAATATGTTTTTGCAAATTTAATAGTTTTTATCTTTGTTTTTGGCGGACCTATTGCATGGAAATATTTTACAAAACAATTAGATTCTCCATCTTTGATATCTATCATGTCATTAATTGGCTATCTAATGTCTACAAACTTAATTTCTACATTTATCTGTCTTATTGCTGGCCGGTCAGCCGACATCTTAATATCATTTATCTTTGGCTCCGTTGCAGGCGTTCTTTTGTTCCTGAAACTTAAATCAGCCTTTTTAGATCCAACTTCACAAACGAAATCATTCATGCCGAATCTTGTTTCAGGCATCTGCATGATGATCACATTCGGTCTTCTCCAAATTGTTTCGAGATAAATTTTTTTATATTTTTTATTTTGTTTTCTGTTAAATTCTATATTTAATACTACTTAATGTTTATTTACTTTTTAAACTATGAACCTAGAAGACGAAATACCTATTGCAAATAACAATATTTGCTTAGATGTTCATTAATTCCGATATTCAGTGAATATATTATATGCAAATGTGCCTCAGTGCTGTTAACTATGCTAACTATGTTAACGAAATAAAAATAAAACAAATGGTAAAAATTTGAATAATTTTGATGAAAATCTTTATGAAACTTACTCATTTACATAGATACATTAATAACTCAAAAGAAATAATGCTTTGATCGCATGTTTTTTAAATAAATATTTAGTAATAATAAAAAAACAAGAAGAAACCAAAAATCCATATGATTAAATAGGTTCCAATCTGAGAACATCCTTCTTGGAGTGCTTGGATGCAGAATCAAAGATTCTGTATTCATCATATGCAAAAGCTAGGCCAAAACCAATGACAGAGTACATAACTGATATGAAATAGAACATCCATATCACATTATCTGGTTGACAGTTAATCATACACATTAAAATTCCAAGAATTGAAGCAGTGAAATTCAAATGTAAACCAAATAATGAAATTCCTAATGTAGATCGTATTCTTATGCATGCGTAAAAGTATGGAACTGAGCAAATTACTTGTGAAGCCGAATTAAAGTATCTTGTGATGAAATTTGAGGAAGGAATGAGAAAAACAACAAGAAACGCTACAACTGGTATTGAATAAAAGATAAGATATGGTTTGGCACGCCTTGTCCAAACAAATTGGAAAATCTGAATAAGATGTACGACAAATAGAATCAATGACGGGAAAATAAGTTCTAATGATCTTTTTTCTGCAAAACAGAGCGCAAAATTAAATGAATTTCCTATCATTCTTAGGCAAACTGCTAAAGAACTGAATCCTTCTGTTGATTTCGTACGGAAATTTAAATATATCTGTGGCAAATCAACTAAAAAGTAAAACGTCGCAGAAGCGTACCCGCAAATTTTCGCAACATGTTCTGGTTCCATTTTATGTCAAATTGTCAAATTTTTTATTCACATCCATAAAATAATGGGGAGAAGCTTCCTAAACTTTTTAATCCCATAAATATGGTCATTATCTGAAATAAAGAGTTAAGCGTCATATGTCACTTTTTGTACTAAGGAAACATCGACTTTATGCGTTATGACTTTTCGATGAGGAAACAAGTGTTCACGTATTATAAACTTCCTTATTCCAATAAACCGACCCTAAACATAATTAATTCTAAGAATGATAATGGTCTCTTTTCTATGATAACCAAATCAATTTGGTTATCATAGTAAAGCACCAAAAACAGGAATAGGAATAACCGCGTTTAAACAGGAATAGGCAATATGGAAACTAGAGAAGACTCAACTGATTTTTTAAGCAAATCTTCTTTCTGATTCAAATCTGCTTTGCTCATCATTGTATATTACTGCATTTTTATTAAGATACTTTAATGCATGATCAATGTACATCATTCTTTTAGCAATTTTTAAAATTCATTCTGCTAATTACGTTGAATTTTGTTCAAAAGATATCGTAATTCCATAATTTAATACGTAAAATGTTATTGAATAACTCTGATTATTCCTTTACATGCAAAATGAGTGTGTTCTTTTTTACATTTTTACTCATATTAGATCAAATTTAACCTGATTTTATACTATTAACACTTATTTTAGAGGGGATATACTTAAATCTCTATTGTTTTAATAAAAACTAAAAAAAAAATATAAAAATTTTCAAAAATGTTAAAATATACTAGCTTTCAAAGAAAGTAAGTCATTTTATAAGGAAGACATTATATGTTTAGGAAGGAAATTCCGTGTAATAACCAAAATAGGAAAGAATATTCAATCATTATGAAAGAACTCTATTCTAACAATTTGTGAGACATATATCTTTATAGCGACATAGTTGCAATTCATGTTTTATCCCCTTTCCTTCATTGATTTTAATTAATGCATTCATTCACTGAATATGCATGCTCAAAATCGAACATTTGCCTTACTAATCAACGGACAATGAATGTTTAAAAATGATTAGTATTGAAAAGTAGCTGGAATTTCAGTGTTGTTTTGTATATTTATTCCAAGTGCAAATTTAAACAAAATATACTTATTCAAAGTGCAATGTTTACAAACAATCAATCAATAAAAGTCACATCTTTTTTTCACTGGAAAAAAAAATGATATTTGTTTATAAAGATAAGTATTTAATTACAATAGTACGAATTTAATTTTTAGACTGAAGTTTATTCATTGTTACCGTTTTTAGTCTAAGTTTCTAGGAAATGAGTATTTTATTTTGCAAGATAAAGTTCTTCGATAAAATTAGCATGAAAAATCTTCTTTCGTATAAGAGTAATAATAAGTTTCCGCAAATCTTATTGAGAATAGTACGAGAATTTTGTTTGAAATTTAAATTTTGCATAAATAAAGAATGGATGCAAGAATTTTCCAATTCCATTTTGTTAGAGTTGATTCGTGATTCCATATTGTTGATTCCTATTCCTGTTTTTGGTGCTTTACTATGATAACCAAATTGATTTGGTTATCATAGAAAAGAGACCATTATCATTCTTAGAATTAATTATGTTTAGGGTCGGTTTATTGGAATAAGGAAGTTTATAATACGTGAACACTTGTTTCCTCATCGAAAAGTCATAACGCATAAAGTCGATGTTTCCTTAGTACAAAAAGTGACATATGACGCTTAACTCTTTATTCCAGATAATGACCATATTTATGGGATTAAAAAGTTTAGGAAGCTTCTCCCCAATGATTTAAATATATGTTTTATATAAGCATTAGAGGGAAGACCAAAATTTTTGTTACGGGCGTGACCAAGACCAAAATTTCACTATTTCTGACAAAATTTACGTGTCAAAATCCTAGATTAGCTTGAAAATCTTCCAATACTAATCATCATGTCTTTCAACTTTGGCATTATATGGCCTAGCATATACTCTATCATATTATGCTATCAAACACATATGTTAATAAAATTTATGCAATTAAATAGGATGATTCTCATTGAATATGAGCGTTTCAAATCGTTTATAATTGCCTCAACATACTATAGTATCAACTGAAGTAGATTTAGCTGTGAAATCTTAAAAATGAAGTATTATGTTTGTTATACTATAATGCTTCGGCGGCGAATACATATAGTTTGAAAGACATAATATAGATTCTTCAGCAAATTCACTTATACTGGATTTTATAACAATGTTCTCACGAGACCAAATACCACCAATTGACAATCTTGTAAGCAATCCTGCTGAACCTTCTACTGTAAACGTCGATGGTAACATTCCACGAAGGTCATCTATTGACATCGTTGAGTCACTGAATTTAAATATTTTCTTAAAGCAATCGTCATTATCTAACCATACAATAGCTTTGAAGTTTTCATTCGAATATACATCTGCTTCATTAAATGTAAAACCTGACTTCTTTGCAGAGATGACTTTAAAATCTATTGAGTTTGTTTCAAAATTATATGCTATGGTAACTTCTGAAGGTAATGGATGTCCTTCCGCAGTCAGTTGTTCTCTCACTACCGTTTGAAGCTTTGTGTTAAAAACTTTCATGTCATCTCCTGTATCTAAGTTCACATACACAGCAACAGGGAAACTATCTTGCTTCTTTGTTTCATCATTATATCTCAAAACATTAAAGTTCTTCAATAATATTGTTCTTCCTGCTGGAATACTTCGAACCTGTCTGATTTCAATAGCTTTCTCACCTCCTACATACTCTACCCAGTGTCTTGGATATTCATAAGTATACTGACTTTCTTGAATTTTGGTTGGTTTCATCATAACATGTTCATAGTATATCTTTATACTCTTGTCAGTTAGACTCGGTGCTATGTTCTGAATATTTCTGACTTGCATTTTTAATGGAGATAAAATGAAGCATTTAATACATGACGTAGATGAAGACATGAATGAAAGCAGTGAAAAGCTCAACAGTTCTCTTATTCTTCCTTTCAGTAAGGACTATGAGTTCTGTTCAAATGGTGCGTATTTCTATTGTGGAAAGATGGGTTCAGGTAAGACATTTAACCTCATTCGTCATATACTCATAACAGAACGTTTAGGAAATGACTCATATTATGACCAAATCATTATATCAGCAACTTCAGACTCTATGGACTCAACAGCGAAAACATTTATGTCAAAAGTTCAAGCCTCTGTCGTTAAAGTTCCAGACAGTGAACTCATTGAATTTCTTCAACGTTACATTCGATGTAAGAGGAAATATTATGCCATCGTTGAATTTATACAGTCAGGAATGCAAAAGACTTCTGAGGAGATGGAAAGAATTACTGACAAACACCACTTACGTCAGTACTCAGGAGTTTACGATATGAAACGACTTACAAATTACATTCTATCAAAACTTTCAAAATACCCCTTCAAAAAATATCCATCAAACACTTTATTAGTTTGTGACGACTTCGCCGGAAAAGGTTTAGTTTCAAAGCCTGACTCACCATTAGCTAACATCATAACTAAAGTCAGACATTACCACTTAACTGTAGCAATACTTATGCAAACATGGAGGTTTTTAGCTTTAAACATAAAACGTCTCATAACTGACTTCGTTATCTTTCAAGGTTTCTCACGCTATGATATTGAACTCATTTGGAAACAGTCAGGTATAACATTACCTTTTGAAGAAATTTGGGAAGCATATAAGTCTCTCATCTCTCCTCGTTCATACCTTGAGATTCATATCATGACTAATACCATTAAAGTCAAAAATATTCCATGGGAACGACCAACATTGTTTTAAAGTTTAACCTTCAATTGACTGATGGTAAACAAATTCCATGCATCTCTGTCGCCATTTCTGTTAATATTTTTGCTGTCATTCATATCATCCACTTCCCCATCCGTTAGCTTTTGAGGATATGCGTTAGAATAGCTGTTCTTAAATGAAGGCTTTTCACCTTTGAGAGCATAAACTCTATAACTTTCTGCATACTTTATGTTTGAACCTCCTGAGCCATCATTGACATAAATTTTTATAGGCTTCCACCCTTTGTTCATGTTCCTGCTTCTTCCCTTAGCTCTTTTGTTCAGTAGTTCTACATCTTTATACACAGCACCTGTCTCAGTGAATTCAACAATATTTTCATTCGTTAGCTTTACATTCAAACCCTTGTCGAGTATATTGTTCATTTCATACATATAAAAGGTTTTTATTCTATATGAAATGAGAAGCAAATCCATCTTAGCTGGTGCCGTTAATGTTCCAATTGAACCAACAGCAAATGTTGACTCACGAACGACAAACAATATTGTCATAAAGAACTATAGTTCAGAGTGTTTGAAAGAAAAAGAACCAGAACTTAAGTCGGTGAATTTAAACTCAGCTTCAAACGCTAACGCTACATCAGATGTTAAGTTAGAGTATCCACCACTGGACCAAATTCTTTCAAGAGAAGCCAACGACAACCCTTACACAAATGTTCAAACAAATCCTTCAGATAACGTAGACCATTACCTTCTTCAGTTATACCAAACAATTTTACTCAAAGACGATAAGAAGCTTTTGACAAATCTTATAAGCAAGAACCAAATAATTCTAACAAAGGAGGACCTTGAAAATGTTATATCACGAATAACAGGGAAACAATGTGTCATTGACTATCTCGACCCTGAAATCGAATGCTGTGGTCAAACTCCACTATTCATGAAAATAGGTAACATCCGCATCATTGAAACACCAGGAACTACAGGAGTTGAGTTTAAGTATAAATATTCGAATGATATACAAAACTTTCAACAGAATATAAACTTTGCTTGAAATATGTTTTAGTAAATTAAAGCAGTCAGGACCTTCGGTCTTGGCGCTTTGCGCCGTCAGTCAAAAAATTTCAAGTTAGCAATTTGTAATATCTATCCAAAACTTCTTCAACAGTATCGAACTCATCTTCATAATGCAAACCTAATCTTATTGACTTGGTGCAGTTTTCACTAACACAA